TGCCTCACGCCAGCTCTCGCTGCAACCCAAGCACTGTGCATCTGTGCAGGGTGCTACGGCTGCTTGTCAGCTATGTCAGGGGAACTGCTCCAGCAGAAACATCACCCAAGGTTTGCGACGCAGACTCTTAAAGGCTTAAAAAGCAGGTAGCACCTTGTCAGGACCGGCAAGGGGTCAAGCAGCACTACTTCATAAGCCGGTCTTCAACGCATTCGCTAACTTTCACATGGTGCTAGTCTACTGTTCTCTGAATACAGAAGATACCTGTTAGTTAAGAACCACTAAGGGGGCGACTGATTCAACAACCCAAAAAGTACATTTTGTAGAAATTCCAACTGGTGGGTTTTGGTTTGGTTTTGGGGGTTTTTTTTATTTCTTTTGGAGTCTTCATTTCTGCTGGTGACTTTCTGACTCACCTATGCCAGAACTCACGCTTTGGCCACGTTGTCTTCCAGCCTCGTTCCTTCCTAGCCAGGGCCAACTGCTCCAAGTTCCGAGGGTTCCTGTTGGTGAAGTCTGGGGAAACCACCTCATTTTCACTTGTGTCCACCTCAGTCTCAGTTTTGAGACCAGTCGTAGTCGATGCAAAACAAAGACCTTGAGAGACAGCAGGAAATAAGACCCCACAGAGTTAAAAAATATAGCACAGACAGTAGAACAAATACAATAGAGAATGAAGCAGCTTGTACAAGTCAGCAGCACAAAATTATGGGGTTTTTTTCAAAACACTAAATGGATGGATTACCACAGCTCAACCTGTTTCTCCCACTTATGAGGTGAGCTGTAAGCTAAAAATGAAAAAAGTATTAAATTTGCTTCAAATGTATTAAATGCGCTTCAAGACCTACGCATAAATTATACACTCAAGCATGACTAGAAGATCCCTAGGATAAAGGTTTTACAAAATAATTAAACTACACAAGGAACCAATGACCATGCTACCAAATAACAAGTTCGATCCCATCAGGCTAATCATCACCGATTATGCTAGCAAACACGAACGTGGACTTAGGCTTGCAAACTCACTCTGCTACACAGCTTTTCGGTCCAGAGAGGCAGCGGGAACCTCTCACTGGGGCTGAGACCTTGTCAGACCGCCCGCCCCGGCCGGGAACGCGCCGGCAGCGCCCCCATCCCACAGCAGCTCCAACTCCCCTTACAAGCGGGAGCCCAGCACAGACCGGGGCCCGCGCACGGC